ATAAAGCCTAATCAATTTTTTAATTGTCGGTGTTATATCAACTACCTTATCAATATACTACCTGCCCTGGCCGGTTTGGCTCAGCGGTTAGAGCGTCCGCCTGCGGTCCGGAGAGACCCGGGTTCGGTTCCCGCTAAGGGCATGTACCTCGGTTGCAGTTTGTCCCCGGCCCTGGTTGGTCGTGTGGGTGGCAGCCACTCGATGTGTCCCTTTCACATCGATGTTTCTCTCTCTCTCTCTCTCTCTCTCTCCCTCCCACTCTGTCTGTACAAAAAATGGAAAAATGTCCTCGGGTGAGGATAAAACAAAAAAATATATATATATACACACACACACACACACTACCTGAATTAAATCTACTGGAAGTTTGTATACATTTTTAATGTAAATGTGATTTAAATACCTCAGAAGTATACAATATTAAAAAATATTCTCTCTTTAATCCATTCTTTATCTCTCCCCATTTTCTTGTCACAACTTAAAGTTTTCCTCTCCCAAATATTTCCTAATTTGCTCAGGTTATCCCTTTCAACTTGTTTTCCTACTTGGTAACTCTACCCATTTGTATAGACTTAAATAAGTTTAAATAAATACAAACTATCTTCTAATAGTTCTTGAGGTAAGCTAAGAACCTATAGAATCTTACATTGTCATAAATGAACACGTATTAGGCATCTATATGAATTCAACACATTAAGTATTAAGAGGAAGAGGTTCTTGTTAAGTCCTTAGTCCTATAGTGCAATGTAGAATAAAATACTTATTACCTACAAATGCTTGATTCTACCTATATTAAAATAATAGTTGAAACCAGAGGTCATGAGGTCTGGTGGTATGTAATGAAAATCTCAGAGTAAAATGTGATACAAGTAGTTTTGAGAATATATAGCAGGAGTTAGCCGGTACCATTTGTTTAGAAAGATAAGAAGAAAGTGCAGAGCATGTACATGCCAATTCTATAACATGTAAGGTGAAGTTATGCTTACTTCATCATCATGAAGTTGAATTTTTAAGTCTGTTTATTAAAAGAGGTATGTGGGCTTTTATCTCCTTTTTCAGAGAACTTGGGTTTTTAAAAACTACTTCGGATATGTGTGATAATTACTGGACACTCAAATATTAAAATTTCCCCATCCTTATTTAGAAATCACTGAGAGCAATGTTTCCCTACTCTTGTCCATGAAATATTAATATTGCAGGATATTAATGGATATTCCCTTTAAAAGATTCTGTGATGAAATAAACCTGGAAATGCTGGATGAAATAGAGTTTAACCAACTTCTGTTGTACAGAATTGCTGAGGGTCTTGAACATTTGAATGCGCGTTATAATGCTCCAAGACAGGATATGGATCTCGCATTTCCCAAGGCCCAGGTGGCCACAGAACACTTTCTTCAAGGAACACCTATTAATACCCCCGATCAAAATTTGGGAAGTGTTAGAGTAATGTAAAGTGCAAGGAAGAAAGAAATTTAAAATGGTTGTTGGGAGGGCAGGGAAACAGCACTAGGAAGCAGGAGAGAAGAGTCTGCAATGGACCAGTACTTCATGTTGAAGTCATCCTGCCTGGCAGAGACCAGCGGTATATATGAAATCAAGTTCAGGACAGAGGTCAGGGCTGGGGTTACTGATTATTATGGATTAGAAGGCCTCCACCGCACAGTCTCGGGACTCTGATCTATCACAATCACTTCTGAGCTAGCCTTTTACTTATATTAGTTTAAATACCAAGTTTGTAAAAGATTTACGCTTTCAAAGAAAATAAATAGTAGTAAAGACTTTATGTAATGATATGAAGAAAATAAATGTGGTCTTTTCTCAGCAACTGGTGAGTGAATGGATACTTTGATAATTCTCAGAGGAGGAAGTCTAGGGTTCCAGGTCCTCAAATTAGGAGGAAATAGGCAGAGATTTCCGGCAAGAGACAAGGCAAAGGGTGTGAGTTCAACTCCAAATAGAGTAGGGGAGAGAAGCCAAGTGTGTTGGAATTTGAAGCTTTGATGAGTGGAAAAATTCAAGAGAAGGGGAGGAGGAAGAGATGGGAGAGCAAAGACAGTTCGTGGAGTTTTCCAGTAAACTGTCATGTGCTCATCCTCATACCTCAGTATTGTTGACATAAGGTCCTCAACAATAAAGTTAAAACAAAGAAACAAGAACACAACATGCTCTGTGTGACATGATTTATTTATTTTTTAAAGAAAGCAATGTTTTGTTTGGTAGAGAATCAAGACAGTGTCTCTTTGCATGATAAAAGGGAAAGCCAACTTCCACAGGACCCCTTTGGTGGACTTTGTTGGCTTCCTACCCAACACCTATTGCCCCCTTCCCTTTTCTCTTCCTGACCCTGCTTTGCCTCAGGTAACCACCACCAAGATCCAGAGGAAGCTAACCCCGTTCACAGCTCACAAGGAGATTCTGGTTTGCCCATCATGGCATCCCCTTTGCTAGGGGTTGTTTCAGGAACGTTCATGTGAACTAATTCTGGCCACTAAGATATGGTGCGGACGAGGAGTCTGGGAAAGGTATCCCAGCTCCTGAGAAACACACTCAAGAAGAGACAACCCTTCTTTCTCCCCTGGATATTTTCATGTCTGGACATGAGGCCTGAGACGGCATCGCCCGCCATGCAGTCAGCTGAGGAGGGCAGAGGCCAGAGACCTGCGGAGCCTGGACACAGCACACTGCCCTACGCCTGGGCTTCTTGTTATGTGACATCATACATGTGCTCGTGTTTAAGCCAGTTTTAAAAATTTTGTTTCTTGCAGGCAAAAGTATGTGAACCAATGTGCACTTATAATAACATCGCTCTCACTAACCTGTAGTCTAAAAATTTTTCCTAGGTGGAAAAGAAAGGAGTACTGTTAAACTCAGCCCAACCCAAATATTCAATGATCTGCAGCCAATCCAATCTCTGTCACACTTGTGAAATTCTTCTGTGACCGCCAGGCCCACTCTCTTCTCTTCACAAAAGCATTCTATGCACTATTATATTAGTCAGAGCTCTCCAGAGAAACAGAACCAAGAGGATGCAGGTATGTGTATTAAGTACAAAATCCACAGGGTGGAACATCAGGCTGAAAAACCAAGGAAGAGCTGATATTGCAGTTGAAGTCTAAAGAAAGTCTACTGCAAAATTCCTTCTTGATTGCGGGGAAGTCAGCATTTGTATTCTATCCAGGCCTCCAGCTGAGTGGATGAGGCCCACCCGTACCATGATCTGCTTTACTGGAAGGCCACGGATTTCAATGAAAATCTCATCCAAAACACCCTCACAGACAAATATTCAGAATGATGTTTGACCAAATATCTGGACACAGTGGCCCAGTCAAGTTGATCATTACAACTATTGTTTTATTTCCTAACTAATTTATTGGTTATTTATTAAGTGTACCTCAGTACACTGTGGGCATATCCAAGGTGTTGCGTCCCACATGTGAATATTTCTGTCATGAGTGTCATGGTAAATAAAAGAATGAAATAAGCCCGGCCAGTTTGGCTCAGCGGTTAGAGCGTCGGCCTGCGGTCCGGAGAGACCCAGGTTCGGTTCCCGCTAAGGGCACGTACCTCGGTTGCAGTTTGTCCCCGGCCCTGGTTGGTTGTGCGGGTGGCAGCCACTCGATGTGTCCCTTTCACGTCGATGTTTCTCTCTCTCTCTCCCTTCCTCTCTCTCCCTCCCACTCTATCTGTACAAAAAAAAAAAAAGGAAAAATATCCTCGGGTGAGGATAAAAAAAAAAAAAGAATGAAATCATAGTTTTACATAAAGGGGAACATTGAATCCAAGACATTCTGTATAGAGAACAGGATAAAGGCCGACCCTGAGATACATCTGGATATTAGAAGTAGGAGAAGGAAAACGAGCCAGCGATAGAGCAGCAGGACAGGAACAGGGGGGCGGGGGGGGGGGGCATGTCTGTGACTCGCAGAAGGCATCTTGGGTGCTAACGACAATTTGGGAGCAGATCTCTATGAAGCCCTTGGCCTCTCCCTATCTCCATTTCTGTACCACAGAGCCTTGGAGTTTATTCCTACATGAACTCAACCGGATTTGCTACATCTCTACTTTTGGGATATTGCCTTAGCCTTTACTATACTCAGTTACCAAAAAGCTGTCAATGCTTCCACTTTTCTACTCATCCTCCCCCTTCACCAGGCAACGTATGATTTCGTGTTTGTTCCACTTCTCCCTACACGAGTGAAGCACACCAGGTGAGAAATGCAACAAAATCGGAACTCGGCCCCATCATACCCTGCTGATTGCTGCTGTATCAAAATGAGGCCTAGTGCTGCAGATATGCCAATTTGTCAAGAACACAGAAATCCAGATTTTTAAGTAAAATGTCCTAATTTATTAAATTTGGTTTGATTTCTTTTTAAATAGAAAAACAACAACAACAACAACACTGTGCAAACTAAGTGAACTTATCTGTGGGTCCACTGTGGGTCCAACTGCACTCAAGGATCACCACTGTGATATGTCTGCTGAGGACCTGGACGACCCACCACCCATTCCCCCAGCAGCAGTCGTGGTCCTGCTATGGTGGGCTCACACCAACAGTCCTGACACAGCAATGCATATAGGTTGAAAGAAAATACCAAACAAATGTGTGTAGATATATAAAGAGAGACACAGAGAGAGAGAGAAATAGAGACAGGGAGAGAGACAGAGACAGGGAGAGTCACACCCTAGTCATAAGCATGATTGTGCTAGTTTTATGACCTTTTTATAATAAAATTCAAATAAATACACAGTCCATAAGTGAAATAAAATTCCACCACCACCAAGTACTATCTAAAATTGTGTTGTATACCCTCAGTGGTATATATACTAATACCAGAGTAGCTTATGAAAATATTATTATACACATAGGTCTAGAATATAAAATTTTGATTTAAAGAAAATAAAGTATGATTTCCATTGTATTTATTAAGATTAAAAGTCATCAATTGTTAAATTCACTATTCTTTCATTAGTTGGAGAATCTGATTTCACATATGATTTTAAAACGGGACAATAGGACCACCAGTTAATGGGTAGAGTTTTTGTTTTACATATGAATTAGCATAAATCCCACTCTCGTCATGCCAGGGGTTGATGCCAAATCTTTTGGAACCATTTAGATCCGTGAACTGAGAACGGCATTTTCTGTGGACTATTGAATAATCATCTTGACAAGAATAATCCTATGGGGGGGAAGAGAAAAAGAAATGATATTGAATAACTGGAATATGTAAAAAGGAGTGATGACTAAAACTTGATCTTCAATGTGTTAGTCTTATTATGAACAAAGGTTAATTTTCAGACAATTAATTTAACCTCTCAAATTATAAATATACCAATGAAAAAATGGCTATTGCATTTATAAGTACTTATAATTCTGAAAGAAGAAACTAGTTCATGGTTGTTTTATTTATGAAACTAAAAATAAATTATTATACGTTTAAAATGGTTTTAAACCATAAATTGACAGATAAAGAACAATTTAAATTGTATGATCATCTACATAGGACCCAAACAATTACAATTTATCTACCATTCAATACCTTTTAAAATTGAATGTGTTACAATCATTCCAAAGAATAATATCTTGGGTTATATCTTTAATAACTGTTACCAAGTTACATTTACCAGTAAAAGCCAAGTTTGAAGATTCATTCCTATGAGAAATTTACTTCAGCATAATCCAGCATAGTGTTTAAGGAATTTACCCTTAGAGCCCTCATAAAAGCTTCTATTGTAATAAAACAAGACACTCGCATGGACCGTTTCCCAGAGGAAATAATGATTCTTCCAGTTTACATCAAGGGTAATGGTAGACAAGGAACATAAAGCCCTTAAACTGATTATATAATTTTCTCCCTTAAATTGGTACAAATTTTAAAGCACTAGAACAATATTGAAATTAAATCACCAAAACTATAAAGCAATGAAAGAACACCTAAATATAGTCCAAATCTTAGATTGGCTTTATTGAAAATAATTGAAAACTTTAACACTATATTCAACCATAAAAATAATTATAGTATTTATTTATTTACTGAATGCTTATTATGGGGTGGGCATACTAGTTGAGTGTTCATATCTTTTCATTCATAACAGGGCTCTGAAGTAGAAAGTACTACTCCCACTTTACATATAAGAAAAGATAATTTGCTTAAAAAATCTCAGAAGGGGAGAATTTAAAGAATGCCAAAATTAAGTGACTCAGCCAGGACTTCAAACTAACCATCTGACTGTGGAATCCATTATCCTTCCAGGATCCCCATGAAATTCTTAACAATTGAGAGATGAAAAGAAATACAAACAATAAAATCCTAAAGCCACATCTTATTCATATCCCTTTCTACATAGTTTGGGCTTTTGCTTTTTGTTGTTGGGGGTCTATTTCTTTGGGGCTTGCTTGTTTGTTTTAAACAGGTATGGCCCTTTAAAAGAGATTTGAACATCACTGGCCAAAACTGCCCTGTGAGAGGAAAGCAGGATCTGCTCATTCCTACCCCAGTGGCCATCAAACTGAAGAGAGTGTCAAATGAGAGCATTGGCCTGTGGTCCTGAGAGGCCCGGGTTCGGTTCCCACTAAGGGCACGTACCTCGGTTGCAATTTGTCCCCGGCCCTGGTTGGGTCGTGCAGGTGGCAGCCACTCGATGTGTCCCTTTCACGTCGATGTTTCTCTCTCTCTCTCTTTCTCTCTATCCCTCCCACTCTATCTGAACAAAAAATGAAAAAATGTCCTCGGGTAAAGATAAAAAAATAAATAAACAGGAAAGGTCAATGTGTTCCTTTAGCATCTCTTATGCAAAGACGACGATTCATTTTATAATATGACAAGATTACATGTGATGTTTTAGGAAAAGGAGTCTGTTAGCAGAAGGTACTAAACACTGAAGGTGGAAAGGACTGGATTCAGGAACTGTGATTAGAATCGGATCTCAACTACTTAAGACATCAACTGATGAATGAATAAACAAAATGTGGTCTATTCACATAGTGAAATATTATTTGGCAATAAAAGAAGTAAAGTACTGATAGGTGCTATAGCATAGAAATCATTATGCCATGTGACAGAAGCTAAACCAAAATACCACACATTATATGATTTCTTATGTGAAATGCCCAAAATAGGTAAGTCCACAGAGATAAAAAGTAGCTTTTCAGGAGGTGGGGAAGAATGAAGAATGACTGTTAATGGGTGTGATGGCTAATTTTCTGTGTCAGCTTGACTGGCTCATGGGCACCCAGATATACACACACACTCCTTGCAATCCAGCTCACAGTCTTAACGGACTTCAGAACATCAATGACCAACCTGGAAGACACAGGTCATAGAGTTCTCCAAATGTGTAGAAGAATATGCTTTGTCAATAAGGCTTAACCAAGAGTTGAAATGGAGAGTAGGAAGATAAGAAAGAGTCTGGAGAATTGTAGGAAGAAAATCAGGGGGCAAGACAGCAGAAGCAGCCAGTGTATTTCCTAATGTACTCATCCCTACCTAGATTTTAATCAGGCAGGTTCTCTTTGACCTGGACACGGAGGAGTACATTAGATAAATGAGAATAATGGCAGAAAGGCATGGGGGCGGGATTCTCCTGGCCTCCATTTCTCATGAGAACTCCTGAAACAAAATACTTCTCAGGCTACCCTTTCATTTTCCTGGGGCACATACCCACGCCGGTAGAGCAGCATGATCAGGCAGAGGGAGGGTCTGAGAGCCATCAATCCTGAGCCACGTCGGGTATTTTGTGGCGTAAACAAGACTCTGAAGTAGCTGCAAGTCTGCAGTGGGGGTTCAGCTCTCAGCTGCAGAACTGAGCATTAGATCTGGGACTGGGAGTCACAGAAGGCTTCCGAGGGGTCAACAGTATCTATAGGAATGAAAATAAGACTGAGCAATCCCAACATGCCATGAGGGTTCCAAATAAGTCCAGAGAGAAACAGAAAAAGACTGACAGTTAATAAAGTCCAGAGACCAGAGCCACTAATGCCAGCAAGGAAAAGAGCAACCAAGTGGACTAGGCATATCACCCCAGAGACCAGAACAGGCAACACACACACACACACACACACAAACACACACACACACACACAAATATCCTATTTTTTCCCCCCTGGCATCAGGATGCTCAGTTGTATCCTTCCCTCCATATACCTGGATGCCACCTTAGGAAGAGTTACAGTTACTATTGCTGTGTAACAGGCCAACCTATACATAGCATGTCAAACAATAGCCATTTTCAGATTTTTGGGATCAGGAATTAGGAAAGGGCACATGAAAGACAGCATCTCTGCTCCACAGTGTCTGGGGTCTCAGCTAGGAAGACTTGAAAGCTGGTGGTAACTTGAGGGCTGGGGCTGGAACCCTCTTTTCATTTCAGTTGGTAGTTGATGTTGACTGTCTGCTGGGACCTCAGCTGTGGCCGCTGACTAGAGCAACCTCACAGGCCCTCTCCACGTGCCCACTTGGGCTTCTTCATGGCATAACTGGGTCTGAGAGTGAAGATGGCACAAAGAGAACCAGGAGGAGGCTATCCTGCTTTTTATCACCTAACCTCAGAAGTCACAAGCATCACTTCTGCCGTAGTCACAGTTCAACCTGTTCTGGGGGAGGCAACACAGATTCCTTTCTGTTAAAGTCACATTGTAAGATCATGTGGGGTAGCAGGTGTGTTGTGGCCATTTTGGGACAAAAACAATCTGCCACAGGGAGGAGGCAGGATGTGTTGGGTTCCCAAGACTATCCCTAGGTTCAGTGACTTGCTAGGAGGACTCACAAGACTCAACATACAGTGGTACTGGGGGCTATGATTTATTATGGCAAATGGATACAAAGCGAAATGAGCAAAGGGAAAAGGCATATAGGCTGAAGTCTAGAGGAAACCAGGTGTGAACTTTTGAGAGTCCTCTCCCAGTGAGTCACACGGGATGCACTCAATTACCCCAGCAACGAGTTGTGAAAGGTTCTCTACTGGGGAAGCCCATTAGAAACTCAGTGGCCGAAGACTTTGTGGGAGGCTGGTCAGACAGGCACCCTCTGCTAGGAACATACCAACATTCCAGCCTTGCAGAAGGAAAGCAGGTGTTCAGCATAAACCATATTGTTTGCACAGTTTAGGCAGAGTGAGCCCTTCTTATTAGGGAATATCATCTGGAAAGCCAAGTTGCTAGATGCCAACCAAAGGCCAACATTTCAAGCAGGCTTTTTAACCAATAGCAGTCTCGGCTCTGCTGTTAGTTCTTTAAGCGCAAACGAGATGGGAAAGGATCTCTAAGAAAGTGAGTTTTTCAAAGGAGATTAAACACTTCCTATAGGAACTACTTAATTTATAGAATCAGGCTAATCTTTAAATGGGTTGGAGAGTTAATGTTTTCCCTCTTGTGGTGGGCTTGGGAAGAAGGCCAGTTATCCGTTAGACACACTTCCTCTGTATATGTGAGTTGCAGACAGTTGCTATGCTTTCAACATCCTAACATAATGATGAAATGTTTATTCAACACCAATTTAGTGGGAGTAGGAAGAAATGTTTAGAAATTGTGTATAGAAACAGATTTTTGAATTACCACATGTTGTTGGCTGTTCCATTATTTTGGGGCTTCACAGACCCTGAGTGCTGACAAAGTTAATTTAAGACAGAATAATCACTGCAGGCTTTTTCTGAGCCCTTCAGGTAGACGCTGGTAACTGGAAAAATGTGCCTGAGCTGTTGAATGAGTGGGCATTAGCACACAACGGTTTATGCAGAGCCAGACTGGAGGAAACACCTCCCAGGAAGAACACGGAGGACTTCCCTGGCTAAGTGGGGATAAAGAACCAAAGATGTTCCATAGCCTCAAACCTGGATGGCTGGGAGAGTTGTAACATCATTAAAAAGAATGAGGAAGACATGGAGATGGGGAGGACTGCTTTTAGGAGGAAAAGATGAGTCAGATTTTGGATACTTGATTAGAGATGACATCAGTACAAAATCTGTGTTTGGAAGGTGGTGCTGAGGAGCAGATGGCCTGGAGGGAGGTCAGTGCCCTGTGCACAGCAGTGATCATTGACTGGGGAAAATAGCTATAAAGGACATTATTGGGCCTGTGAATTACATTTGAATAGAGACTGTGGATTTCGTAATTATACTGTATCAACTTTCCTGAGGTTGAGCACTTTACCATAGCTATGAGTCCTTGTTCTTAGGAAAAGCA